ACAATTTCTTATTTTCTAAGTTTGCGAATAAAACTTCACACTTAAAATTAAGACATTTATAACAAACATTTTATGAAGAAAATCCCTTCTTCGTTTAAAATAAAAATAAGCGAAATCGGCTCAATTCCATACAACCCTGCCTGACATGAAAATTTTCTCCACGATAAGGCTAGTAGCCATTTCTAACAGATTTTGGGTCGCTTAGTCAAAAATGGAAACATATATACATATTTGAAATTTAAGAAAACAAGGCAAATAGCAAAATCGGCTAAAAACGGCTAATTTTTTTCTGCAAAACGGCTAACAAATCGGCTGCCGGCTAAATCGAAATTTCTCCGGCTGTTTGCTATCGCAACCGGCTAAATCTAGCCGGAAAACGCTAAAATGGCAACACTGCCTACGTCTACGTTACATCGTTGACTGTTTGAGCTTTAACATTGCTGCACGGAGAAAGGCATATTTTGTGTATATGTATATTGTACAATATCTTTTCCAACTTGTGTAAAAATAAATTATTTGTTCCTGTGTTCCACTCGAGAATATGCCACACATACAATTGGTTGTAGGAAAAGCATGAGGTTTTGAGGGTTTATCCACAAAATTTTAGTTATTGCTTCATGTGACGCTTTCAGCGCCAGACAGTGGTCTGACTGGAGAATCTAGCGGGACGAAATACAAAAAATTTAAAGTTTTCAAATCGGTACTATTTAGGACCGAATATAATTTCTTAGCAATGTTTAGTAACGCTACTTTCCTGAACGTACTTTATTTTGTAATTCATATCCGCTTCCGTTTAAATTACATTGAATTGGCAGCTGTTAAGCGTTGCCACTGTTAAAAATGTAATGATTATCCTCAATAAAGTATTCATGAAATGAATCACTTCTTTATTACTGACGCGCAGCTCAGCACTAGTTTCAACCATCTCTTACTACAGGACTCCTCTAGAGCAATGACTTCCCTTGGGGGCATTTCGCAGCTGTCACACCGCGGAGGGGTTGGTACCTTAGTCCATACGAGTATCACCACTATGTATCACACTTGTCATCACATTAATTTGGGATAAATTTAATAGGCTCATTGAAAATCAAGGCCCCTTGGGTGAATGCGACATTCAAGAGCTCCTTATTTAACCAACCGCACAAAACGTCCGAGGCTACTTTGGCGCTATGCAGGTTCACTTGTAGGCACCTGATGTGCCTGGGATGGTTACTTTTTTGTTGTGTGTGACCGCTCTTGATAGCTCCCCCGTCCTTGCCTCTCTTGTGCCATCAGTGGAGGTCCGCGAAATGGATTGGTGAGTGAGATGATTCCTTTAAGCAACAGCATTTCTCTTCGACAGCCGCACATGGTGCAAGTTCGAGAGCCCTGTTCTGTGCTTTCCCGCCTACTAAAGCCATAGTTGATCAAGAACCTTAGCCTGTTCAAATTTTTAGCCGAAAAAGGCTCGATGGCCATAGTGAGTTCAGTGGTGGATTCTATGACTCCTGTTGTAAAACTTCCAATTGGCTACCAGAAAATCTACCCTTTTAGCCTCATCTAGAACAAGAGTACTGTCAACGGGAATATTGGATGTCTACGGAAACTAGCCTATGTATTTCCATGGTTTGAAACAGCGGTTGCATCATCCAGCTCCGCTGACATTCCATTTTAAGGTTGTGGGCCACCAATGAAGCCACTCTACAGTATCCGCAGCCAATGTCTATCCAACCCCGTAAAGAGAGTATAGCCGCTAAATTTGATTTTATGGAGCTGCCTAACCGTCTACAAGAGCGCCGCCTGAACCCTGCAGTTGATCAAGAGACAAGGGCGTTTTGGGGTAGCTGATCGGTAACAATGTCACCCTCGACACATTTTCAATGGCCGTCAAACTCACTGGTCCCGTGACACAAGGACTTTTGTAGAATAGTCCTGATTTCCCTTTGAGGTAATTGTGGGCTTGCGAGGAATAGATTTTCTCTGTACGCATCCTCTCCTCAGCAGCAAGTACCACTTGGTCAAATAGCTTTTTAGCAAGACGAAATCAATTCATTTGCCCCAGTGTTCAGGTTGACCATTTCGATGTCCAAAGATACTGTTTCTTATGTATAAAAATATAGCTGAAGCTCAGACTTAATTCTTGCACTGATAATGTGAGCTCAACCTCAAAAATTCGTACTTTAAACCGAGTCGAAGCTTAAGCTCGCTTTTTGCCACTGCCCAAGCCGTTTGGACTGAAGTCCATTTCGTACTATGCGTGACAGCCTGATTTGATGTTGGGACTTTGCGCATTTCGACTTACAACAATTTCTTCCGCTGTGGTTGCCATTTGCTCGACGAGCTCATAAAGCAACGACTACTATAACAGTTTGTAGAGTAGAGATGTTTAAATTTTTTTCAGTTCCGGCCTCATGAATGTAGAAAGAAATAGAACATCGGAGGCAGAGGCACGGTACTCCGAAATGGCTAACTAAAATCTGACGGCGCCACGTGATCAGAGTACACGATTAGAAGACATACTAAAGTAGTGCCATTCCGTCCGTAGCCGCAGTGGACTTACGGATTTTATCGAACTTTTCGCTCTAGATCGGCTTTGCCCTCAGCCAGGTCGGTGCACACCACCGCTCTAGATCGACCATATTCAGTAAAAGCAAGGGCTCCTCTTGCTGGGTGTGACTCTTCGCCACGTATGGTCGATATTGAACGCGTGCCGCCCTTTATCCAGAGAGCTATATTGCATATGAGATCAGCATAAAGAATATAAAGATAGATCCTAAGTCGTTTTCTTTCGGAATTCTGCTTGGCACAAAAGTCGTTGAATTACTCACCAAGGAGTTTAAAACCAACTACTACACCAATAAATTAGTTTCAATGTTTATTAAGAACCTGTTTTTTTTTAACAAATTCGGAATTGAGAAACTTTAGCTCCTCTTTAAAGTTTCACAACTACTCTGCTTTCAATATTTTAGTAAATTTAAAACTACTTTATTGCAATTAAAATAGTTCACTTCTTAAAATTGATTCCATTCCCCCCTGTAGGTTGTGCATACACGCCGTGTCGTACGCCCACCACTCGATGCCGATGGCCCTTGGATACCACGACAAGAGTCGCGCATCATACTAACACCAACCATTGCACCGCCACCACCGCCGCCGAAGCCAGAACCCGAGCCACCCAAGCCAAAGCTTACGCCACAGCAAGAACGTCTAAAAAGGGCAATTTACATAGATCGTACATCGAGAGTGCTCTTTCCTGCGCTATTCGCCAGTCTCAACGGCATATACTGGATCATATTTTATGAATATCTCTAAGCACAAATTGACACGTTCACATTCGTATGCAATACTATTCTCAAATCTACACAAAATGTGTGAAATGTGCTTTATGGTTTTAACACAAATCGATAGAATAAATAATAACAAAAACAAAAACAATTTCTAGACTAGTATAAATTACTAGAATTAAAAAATAGCATAAACAAGAATATAAATACAATGTATAAAAAGTAGGCAATGTTGTAATGTTATTAAAAGTAAATTTGAAAATTTTATTCAGAGAAATTTGATGGAGCAAGTTAATTCAACTGAATGTGTGTACGCATAAAACTGTTCAAATAAAAATTGACATATTTAATTATGTATGTAAGCTATTTAAAAGGTATTAGTGCATAAACAAAAGGCTCGAAGTAAAATGTTAAACTAATGTATCATAAAATGTTTAGCCTTAAGTTTATTTAATGTTTATTTACTTGCTATATAATTTATTATTTTATTAAACACTAATTAAACAAATGTGTTAACTTCTAGCTCCATAAATTACAA